TCTAAAGAAACTTATAAATATGTTTATTAACATGCTATAAAGTATTTAATTAAAGATTTGAAAAACATTAATTTGATAAATATCTTTTAATATATTTTCTTTATTTAGGCTATAAGAGTAAATTAATTTTTATTTAATTTTAAATTATTTAATATTTAAATTATTTAATTTTAAAATTTATAAATTATTTAGATACTGATATTCAAAAATAAATTCTTAAAAATTATAACTTCAGCAGCTAATATATGATACAAATAATAAAAATATAAATATTCTAAACAACAATAGAAGATATACTTATTGGTTAATTTAGAAAATTTTATTTTATTTAAATAAAAGTTTATTGTATTTTTTTTACCAAATATTGATACAACTTTAAGTTGATAAAAAATATATATAACAATACTATTATATTTATAATTACTTGAAATTATACCTTTTTCAATTACTCTATATACTATAAGTTGTTAAAGAATTTGGTCTATTTGTGAATAAATAATAAAAAAAGAAAAATAAATTTATTAGTTAAAATTTTAAATTATTAGTTAAGATATATTTTTTTATTATTATTATTTTATTTATATAAATATATTTTTATCAAATATTTTATAAAAATAAATTTAATTTATATATAATAATTTTAAAATTTGCAAATTATATTTTTGAAATTTCAGATTATAGTTTCAAAATTTTGGATTATAGTTTCTGGGTTTCAGGTTTCAGGGTTTCAGTTTTTTTTTTAAAAATCTGAAACTAGTACCTTCCGAAACTAGTTTCGGGTAGGTTTTATTTCGAGTACCAACTTTAACATATACTGTAACGGTAACACTAATTTGAAACTAATTTGGAAGTCGATTTCTCCAGTTTCGGAGATCAACCAAATTAGGTTATAGGGTCCGGAATCGGGTGGATCGTGCCGGGTCGGGCCAGGCTTTTATAAACTCGGTTTAAACTAGACCTGAACCCAAAATGTCTAATCAGGTTTGGGCTCGGGCCAGGCCGGGCCTGTGACTCAGATTAACAGTTTTTCGGAGTTTGTAGGTGTTTTTATAAGGCCTGATCCGGCCCGGTCTTGACCTGGCCTGGCACGCTATAATTACGGGCCTAAAAATATCTGGCCGAGCCAGGCTTTTGCGGGCCAGGTCGGGCCGGGCCCTGGGTAGCCCGGCCCGATTCCGGACCCTATTAGGTTACCTTTTTGATATATTTTTGACGATCATTAGAATATAATATAGTGGCAAATAATTATGTAGTATTCTCGATTTATTGTTATTAGGGCATATTTAAGAGGATGGGATTTCACCAAATAGAATAATTTCATTTTTTCTACTAAGCCACTTTTTCGTCTCATTCTCACCCGATTTAAGATGTAACCCGATAAGATGACAGATTGTTTGAAAATTTTAATGTCTAATTTCAGGATAATAGTCATTGCTTTAGTGTTATTAGTAGAATTTTGCCTGTCGGACAACATAATCTTTAAGAGTTTAGTAGGTGGCCTATATTGTTTTATAATTAATAGAGCTTAATGAATTGAAACAAAGGGTCAAATTAAAGTTCATGTGATACATTATTACAAATTTATTAAGATTTTGTACCTGTGAAACTTTACTTCTT